TGCTGGAACAGCAAACAGCACAGAATATTCAGTGTGTTTATAATGTTCCCGTGGGCTGTTATTGCCCTTGAACAGCTGAGGGTATGATGCACAAAAGGGGGTACAAAAATCCTCCAGGTGCCTGAGGCAGGTAGAGGACAATGAATCTTTGACTGTCAAATCTACCTTCCTGGCCTAAACACTGTCCTTTCATCCAGAATGCATCATTTACATTCCTACACCAGTGATGAGATTAGACCCAAAACTGTGTCCCCCTTGAAAGTGGTTTTGTTTGTTCCAGAAGAGAAAATCAGTATTCATAGAGGAAAATCCATTCATGTCCATTGATAAATGAGCACTGGACAGGATCTGATTTTGAAATCACGGATCTCAAAACATTTCTTGTGGTTACAAGATTGTGGTGAATGCAATGATAAAAAGTGTTCTGCTTCTGTTATTTGGAAACCCTTAGAAGGTGGATTTTAGGTTGCAAGGCCACGTGCCTTGGCCTGCACAGGTGATGTCTGGGTGATGGAGGCTGATTCCTCTTATTTTCTGTTTTGCAGTAATACTGAAAAATAGGATGACTGTCTTTAAACACTGCTTTGCAGGTGGCTGGAGGGTATTTTTATGGGCAGTTTTATGGTTTAAATGGATATGCAGGCAGAGGAGAGGATACGAGGCTGATTTTTGTGGTTGATGGAACAGCTGCTATTCGGATCTCTGCCTTTCATGTCTCAGAACTGTCTGATAGTGAAACTTCTGCTTGGCTCCACCACCTGTGGCAGCCTCAGAGATCAAAGCTCCTTGTCCACAGGTTGTGTTCTGAAAGAGCAAGGCACAGACTTTCCCCTTCCCATCTGTTCCAAGAGCAAGTCATGAATCGAAAAAGAGCATTTTTTTGCATTGAAAGAGAAGCCACTAAAAGATGGTCCTTCTCTGGAAAGATCAAGGAGTTGAGCAGGTCAGTGAGGGAGAGAGCAAAGCCAGGTTTTATCCTACAGTGCAATTCTCTTTAGAAAAATGGAGTTTTTTCAATTTTTTTTTTAAGAAGGCACAGTAAAGCTTGATGGGCTCTCACTTCTATCCAGGGTTGGATTAGTCCCAACAGCCTCTGTTTCCAAAGAATTTTAGGCATCCAATAAAAAAAAAAAAAGGCTAAATCGTGTCTTTAGACTTCCCATTGAAACGTTGGTGGCCTTTATGTGGAAATTTCAGATCCAAACATCTTTCAAAGGCAGTGCTAAAGCATCGTGGCTTGATTGCCACGAGTGGCAGGGAACAGAACTCCCAGCACCCTGAAGCTGAAGCCAGTGGGATTTCTCTGGAAGTGCTTACATCTGTGGGGTGCCTGTGTAAACGAAGGGCTTTGCCCACGCACAAACTGCCTGAAATTCTCTCTATATGTTTATCTCAAATGGTTCCAGCACTGCTGTTCAGAAGGCCACAACTGCTTTAGCAATGTGCACAGGATAAAGCCTCTTGGCTGCACTGGGGAAGTGGCTGCACTCAACTCAGTTCGCTGTAACCTTGTAAATGTTGCCACGCGCTCGATTAGCACAAATCAGGCAGCTTTGGTAAGGAAAATGTGATACGGAACTCAAATACCTTTCTGAAGTCACTGCACTTCGTCAGAGTGGGTAACCTCACTTTGATCTGTATTGACAAGCTTCAGTTGTCATGGAGATGGGCGGGATAGGGAAGATGCAGTGCCTGAGGCCACGCGTCTTTACCAGTTACCCCTGGATGTGGGTGCAGCGTCTTTTAGCAGAGCAGCTTCCTTGCATACCCTCGAAGATAATGGCTTTGGAGATTGAGAAACATTTTCAGAAGATTCAAACTGAGAATTAACTTGGGAATATCCAAATTAGACCGTTGTGGCTGGTTTGCCCCCTCCCTCCCACGTTGCTCATGGTCTGCTGTTTGGAACCCCCTGTTAGACTGAAAGGGATGGATCTGAACATTTATTTCTCCCTCAGTCAGTTTGCACCTCTGATTCTTTGAATCAGTTACTCAGAGTAAAGATAAAGGTGGAGCTGAAGCAACTGGTCGTGCCTCAGTTGTGGTGAGACTGCAGGAAATGGGGGGTAATTCTGACATCTCTGATCTTGAACGTGCTTTCAATTTACACCAAAGCCTGATGCACAGCAGCATCCGTGGTCTTCCATTTACTTTTTGCTGCCATTCATATTTTTACCTCTGTTATATGGGAAAGAAAAGGAGTTTACATCCCCCTCAGTGTCTCTGCTTCTCCTTGACGTTGATTTATTGTGTCTGACTTCAGCAACTGGCAGGTTTCACATCCAGGGGGTTCAGTTTGCCATCTGAGGAGTTATTAGGATGTGCTCCATGCAAGGCCATAGCCTGAGGTATGGAAGGGGCAAGAAAGATGGTGCTGTCCCAGTGCAGATGGTCTTTTGATCTGGAGGGATGAACTTCTAGTGAGGATCTTATAAGTAACACTGCTGTAAAAGGAACTGATTGGTGCAAGGTAATTTTCCAGGAACAAACTCTCCCTGCCTTGGAGAGTACAAGTACACCCTCAAAGGCCACCAGTTTACAGTGGCTTAATGTTGAATTAAGTGTCAGGGAAGGTGGCTTAATCAAATGTAAACCACCTCAAGACAGGAACCAAGCCAAAGTTGTGCCTGAGGTCCACACCACAGCCTTGGCACCTCATTTGCTGCCCACCTGCGTCACTACTGAGAGAGTTCCAAACTGAAATTCCTCTTTATGTTTCCAATGAAAACACTGGAGCTGTTCAGCTGCTTAAATGTCTGCAAGCCTAGGTTCTCTCAGCAAAGGCAATGCTCTCTTTTTTTTTTTTTTCATTAAAGAGGGTTGTAGAGATGTTTTATAACTCGAAGCCTTGACTGCAGCAATATCGCGTGATTTGTGAGGCAGGTGAGTCAAAACAGCGTAACTGAAGCTTCAGAGCTGCAAATTACATAAACTCAGTGTAGTTATCCCAACACTGAGCTGACAGGACCAAAACCTGCCTGGAAAATCCCTCCTTGTGGCAGGCTGGGACAAAAAATCCTCTGGGGGTTCGTTTTGTTTTGAGGACAACTAGCTAAACCACGTTCTCAGATATTCCTGTCTGGCTTTGGATGTGCAGGTTCCTCATTCCAAACCAGCAAAGCTACACTCAAAACCACTTAAGAATCTCATTTCCCCTGGTGCATTTTTTCTCTTTAAACGTTCTCCTGCCTGCTGCACTGCATTTAGGTTACTGCACTTCCAGCAGGATTATCCCACAGTGTCTGTGGAATGGGAATAACCCAGCTTGGTAAAGCTCCTGATTTACTGCAGAGGAAGGATCAGGACACGTAACCCTGAAGCTGCAGTTCATTTAAAGATGGTTTTCATGGAAACATTCTGCTCTCTGCTTCCAGCTTTATTCTCTGGAGCAAAGGCAAATATTAAACTTTATCTCTTCATTAGCTGAGCTCTGGGTATTCCAATGGTTTTCTCCAGCTTTTAATGACCACTCTGTAGAAGTCAGCAAAGACAAGAATGATTTTTTGTACACATGATTTTTTGGCTCTCTTTGACCATTCCATTTCATCTTCAAGCCTCAGATCTGCTCAAAGGTCAGATTTTGTGGACAAAAAGTTCTTGTCTGAGTTCGTATTGGTTAAACATTCATTTTTCAGTCAGAGCATTGATCTGCAAGCAGTAATTCAGATTTAGCCTCTAAGTTTGGTGGTGTTAGCAGTGAAAAGTAGAGCTCTGGGTAACAAGAGTGAGAATTTTGGATTTGTTTTCAGTTAAAGACTAGAGAAACAGTTTCCTTTTTTTCTTCTTTTTTCCTTTTTTTTCGTGAATGGCACAACAGTGGTTGTACTTTTAGCAGGACAGCACAGGATCCACGTGGTTTAATAAGACAATGGTGCTGGGCTACTTCCACAGTCAATAGAGATCTACCCAATCCAGAGAATGAAACCCTTAGTACAACTTATTTAATTTCTAAAAAAGATGTTTAAAGCAGGTCAGGTAAATCTCAATTTAGGGTCTGTTTCTCACCACTGACTGCAAAGCTGGCATGGGGTAACAAGGTGAAAAGCACCCAGCTGTGTGGTGACTCCAAAAATTAGATGGGATGGAACTAAATGACAATTTTGCTGAGGAGCTGAGTCTGTGTGTGGATGAGAGGGGTCAATGAGTCGACCTGCACGTGCTGGGTCAGACCTGCAGTCACTGCAGTGGGGTGGAATTGCAGAGTCTGTTTCCTGCTCACAGAACAAGTTCAGGTTTCCAAACTCTTTACATTTGATCTGTAAGTCCAGAGGGTTTGTGAGTGTAGTCGGTGGATTGGCCAGGAAAGAAGTCCATTGTCAGCAATTCCTCAGCTACTGAGTAAGAAGGGAAAGTCCCCCAACCTGTAACAGTGCCAGCTGAGGGTAACAGCAGGTATGTGGCATAAATAATGGATTATGTGGGTGCAATTTTCAGTTTTCTCCTCTCTCTCCCATACAATCTTTCTCCTCTCCCTTTGGTTAACTTTTTACTGTATTTTCAATACTTTATTTCACTGATTTGTTTCTACATTCCTTCTCCTCCTACTTACACGGTGGCCAATCCTGTCCATAGGGAAGTTACATGGAATGACTCAAGCAGGGAGCACAAAGACCCTTAATGAGGCACAGTTTTTATTTGCATGACTCAAGTTCCACCTTTCCTGTGTTTCCCAAAGGATTCCCTTGCAGCGTATTCGGAGACAAGCCCCAAATTCTGTCACTGTTGGTAGAGACCTAAATTCAGAACCCTGACCATTGTCCTTATGGATAATGCAGCATAACTTCATTCCCCTGGATCAGCATGTTCGTTTTACTTCCCTTTGAGCCCCCCTGAGGAGCCCATGAAGCCTTTAGAACCAAATTGCGACTCTTTTTGCCTCCGGTTTGTGTCCTCTCTCATCTGCATCGCCGCCGTCAAGGTGTTGGGTCTGATAAGGTGGCCTTCAGCCACATCACTGAATCCTGGGAATGTTTAACCTTTTCTTTCCCCTTCCACCCTAGCACCCTCCCTCTTCCTCCCAGATGCAGCTGCAGCCCGTGCCCGGGACACGTGCGGTGAGACTCGGCTCGTTTGCCTTTAGCTGTCTAAAGTCTCGTATTTACCCCAAGCGGTCCAGTCGTCGTCTTATGGTCAAACCGGGAGCCCGGGGCACCCCCCCGTCGGGCACTGCATCCCGTGTGTCTCAGATGCCTCTGTCACACAGCCCAGCTCAGCCTGGAAGTCCCTGTTCTTGCCATGATTGAGTGGCTCGGAGGTGATAGCTCAGTCGGGATCTGTCTCCGGACACGGAGAGTCGGACGTGACCAAACCCGTTCTGTGTCTGTGCCCACAGAGGTCTGAGGATCCTGCCCTGAGTCCTGCAGTGTTTTTTGATATCCATGGTCTCATTTCGATTAATTTTCTCTTATTTGTCTGATTTTTTTTTTTTTCCCTCCTTCGCATTCCTCTCTAGTTTCTGCCTCCTCTGTCTCTTCTCTCTTTCTCCCTCTCCCTCCATCAACGTCTCTATTTTGATAAGAAATAACTCCAGTTTATTTATAAAGGGAGGAAGGAAAGAAAGCTTCTCTAAAATCTGGACTTTTAAGATTTTGGGCCAATATACGATATCTAACATCAGAGAGATGATTATACCTAAAATAGAAAGGATGGAAATAAAAAAAAAAAAACATTAACTCTCCTAAGAAGTGCTCACAGTTTTTCATCAGAAACCTGTGTGGAAATGTCCCCTCCTCGAGTTGGGAGCAGCACTTAATTCTTAGATATTAATTTCAAAATCAAGCCTGTCCTATTTGATAATTCTAGCAAGTGCTGTCATGTTGGTCTGTTCACAAGAAAAAATTATTTAAACAATCAATCCCTGTCAAATGAAACAGAGCACAAGCAGTAAACTTGGGGGGGGAATTTTTTCCCATATTTCCATGGCAACATTAAATATATAATTGAAAAACACAAATCTCTACAACACCCCATGACTAAGAGTTTCCAAAGTTATTATTGATTTTTAAATGCTTCGTTTTCAGGTTCTGTGCCTGGAAGTGCCTTCCCAGGTACTTTTTCTTAACTGAGGCTGAGCAGCCCCCTTGTGGTAAAAACTGGTGTGAAAAAACGTGTTTCAGAACAAGCAGGTGATTAAAACACTGAGTGAGACGCTCAAAACCCATAATCACTTCCGAAAGTCTCAGTCATAATAAAATTGAATTAACCTTAAAATTTCCCTCCTTGGTTTTTGATCAGGTTTAGCTGACAATTAATCCCCGACTCAGCTCTGTGAAAAACAGAGGTGGGGCAAAAAATTTCTCCCAGAAGTGATGCTGTAAAAGGAACAGTCATTTTCAAATTTGCTTCCTGAGCATCATCCAAGAACCGAATTCATTTTACAAGTCGAAACATGATTAGGATTCCTATTTGCTGGATGTGTGCATGCCACAAGCACTGTATTATTTCCAGCCTTTATACTATAATATTGAAGAACAACATGGTTTTTGATTACCCAAAAAGAAACAAACAAAAAACAAACAAACAAACAACAAAACAAAACAAAAACCAAACAAAAAAAAAAACAATCTCTCTAGTAACAAGGATTGACTTAAAGGAGTTAAAAGTGGGGAGAAAATGAGTGTGTTTTCAATTTATTCTGTTTTACTGTTCAGCTTACAAGCTCCATCTTCCATCTGTGCTTAGGTGAACATAAATCTTAGACTGTGCATATTAAGCAGAGCAGGAGAGACAGAGTTTGGTTTGTTGGGACAAAATCAGATGTTTGCCCTGAAGGCAATTGCTTTAAAAATCATCATATTGTCCTTTATACTTAATGGAGATCAGTCAGGGTACTCGGTGGTGTTGGGTGTGCTGTTCATCCCATCCTAAAGTGGGCATCTAAGACAGCTTGGATGTACCCTGGCCAAGAACTGCATTTCTCTCTCAACTACTTATTCTCTCTGATGATTCTCAAAGGATGAGGATTTCCAGTTTACTCAGACATTTATACTGTAAACATCCAATCTTCCCCGAGCTGAACCCCGCCAAACCAACCATGTCTTCAAAGCAAAACAAAAAATCTCCCCTTTAGAGTCCACAAGAAATCCCTATTTTCAATTTTCACGCTTTTCAGCCATAAAATCTGTTACAAGATCCCTCCAAACGCCTTCCTGTGTTTCAGGTTGCCCTTCTTGGGGGCTTATTTAAATTAACCTCTCTCTGGCTGGTTGTAAATGTGACAACTCCCCACCCCAGTTCTCCATAGCAGCTTTTTCTGGGACACAACAAATAGGGATCACGGGTCTGGTTACACACAGTTTATGCACCTGCTGCTTTTGTCTCAGTGTGTGTGACAAAAAAAATAAGTGCTACGTCCAAATTACCAGCCAGCCTTGCAGTTTCCACACTGAACTCCCTCCCCATCATCAAGAAAGATGTGGGAAATAGGGATCCACAAACCCTGGGTACCCCCACCCGAAAATGAGGGACATCTGACCCACCTTCCCCTTCCACTGCCCACCATCCGACGAGTCCGTGTTCCCACCTGGCTGTCCTCCACGAGCATGCAGTCAACTCCCATCCAGCAGATCGTTCTGTGACCCTCTGTCCAACCCCAGGCTGCGAAGGCCGTGTGTATTTTGGGTGCCTAACGCTGCCCTCAGGTCGTTCAGCTTTGGGCTTGTGCTCAAACCTACCTGTAAATTCACCAGCCAAAGCCAGCGCCTTTTCAGTTCGATTTTTGAGTTTTCTTTTTTGCTTCAGTCAAGCAGCTGGGTTGTGCTGTCTGTGGTGTCTGCTTTCCATCTTTGTGATGTGTCTCATGAAATGTGTTGTCAGTGACCTTCCTTGGCCTTGTTCACGAGATGCTGAAAACAAACAAACAAACAAAAAAAAAATTGAAAAAATAATAATAATAAAAAAAAAAAATTGCTAATCTTGTCGTATTTAGCAGCTGCGTTCAGAAATGCTACTGTAAGCCTAAGAGGGCTAACCAGCACTCTTGCAAGATGTCAGAACTATCAACCATTACCCTGTAAGTGTTCACACTCCTGTGACATTCCTGTGTTTGTATGAGCATGTTGCAATGAAATGAATGGATAAGAGCAGAGGGGTAGCAAGTGCAGAGCAAGCATTCATTGAGTTCTTGTTGCATGGAGAATTTTTTTGTTGTTCTTGTTCTGTGCTTTTTGCTGATGCCCCACGATTGAGGATTTGAAGGTTATTTTAATATTTTATTTTAATTTTTTTTTTTTTACTTATGGCTGATGCTGTTTATGGTTTGGGGTTAATAAATAATAAATAGCTGCTCTTTATTATCTTTATTATCAGCACCTTCGTGCTGAGAGGAAATGTTTCACCTGAAAGTGTGTTAGAAAAACATGCACTAGGCAAGATTGAGTCAATCAGACTCTCAGTGGGAATAAAACATCTTTTATAGAGAGGAATAAAACTGAGTGAAGTTATTTTAGTAAACACCCAGGGGTGAGGAAAGGTTGAGATTAACCCAATATCAAAATAGATTGTGTCTAGTCAGCAATCAGAATCACACAATCATTAAGGTTGGAAAAGACCAAGATCATCAAGTTGAAGTCAAATTATCAAATATTCGCCCATGGAGAGTGGGGCATCCAGAAGAGTGAGTAAATTCAGCCATTCAGCTTAGAGAGTGTGAATTAATCACGTTTCCATAGTCCACCTCACCCCTTGCTTCACACAAGTGTTGTGGGTTCATAGAATTATTAAGGATGTTTAGATATTTTGTTTAGACGAGGTGCATCTTTCAGAAATCTATCATAAGTAGGTTTTCTGATGGTCTGTCTCCTGAATTTCGCAGCACTTTTATAAGTTCAAACCAGACCCAACACTCCAGGGTTTTGTTAAGGAATCCTTAGTAATTATTTTTTACACCGTTAAGGAAAAGAGGTTGGTTTGTAACTTAAATAGATATTTAGTCATGTCTTTTTAGCTAGAAAAAAAACCCATAAAAGTGAATTTTCTCAGTGATTTTACATCTCCTCAAGAAACAGACCAATGAAGATGCTCAAAACAGTCAAGCAGAAGACTGACATTGTGAAAATAATATAAATAGAGAATAAAAGAATAATTAGCATCTTTACCTTCTACACTGAGAGAAGCTGAAGGCTAAGAGCAGTTAGGTAAAAATTGACCTACAGTTAGGAGGGGATTTAAGTTCACTGCTGACACCCTGATGTAGCACAGACATCATGTTGGGATTTCACAGAGAAATAAATGTCACATCAAATGCAGTGTTTTAGAAAGATGGGACAGTGACAGCTGTCTCAGGTGAAAGGCTCTACCTGCTCAAAGGCAAGGAGAGTTCGGCCTAAACAGGAGGTATTTAAACCTGATTTTTTTGGTGTTAAAATATGAAAGTCTCAGCAAGATGCCCCTTTTTTCAAGTTCTTAGCCTGAAGATGTGGTTTGTGCGGGGGAAAATTAAAAAGCTCTAATCACTTGGTGTGTCCAGGTGTTACCTCAGGTATTTTGGAAGTGATCCTGCAGACCTAATTTTGCGAAAAGCATGTATCTGTCAGGGAGATTCCTGAGGTTCCTGAAAGTCATGTTAAGTATGTTTAACAGCTTTGTGGTCAAATAGATACTTCAGTTTATTAAACACGAGCTGTATCAAGCATTTCATCAGCAATGCCATCCTGTACCTTCACGGTTTGCTCTTTATCCTTCTACCTGAAATACTGTCAGGATTATTTTCTGCACATGCTCCCCACTGAGATGATGGATGGGTGCATTTGGCCAGGAAAAATTGGATTCTTCTCATCTGAACTTTCACAAGTCTACAGGGCAGCAATTTACGTGGCAAACTCGGGCCAGATTCCCTTCGGGGTCAATGGGTAGATTTAGGATGTGATAAGAACTTCCTGAGGGGCAGGTGATTTGTCCTGGTGTGTAAGTGCTTCTTACTCTTGACAGGCAATGAAGGGAGTGTAAACGTGGATTTAATTTAACTAAAATTAGATGTCATCATTGCAGATATCTCACAGCATTAGTCAATATGTACATCAGTAGATGGATTCAGCACATACTCATGGTTTACAACGGGAGTCACCTCTTCTTAAAGATACACCTACAGCAGGCAAGAACTAGGCCCTTAAAAGTGCATTTTTCTCCACACTGAATTTAGAGACATCATTTTAATAATTTCATGATCAATACCTACCTTTCTGTACGTCCCAACCTCGGTGAGGTGAATGTTGCTTTACATGACTACAGAACTTGATGCCTTCATTGCAAAAGTTTATATCTGATCCAAGCATTCCACTTCAGACTCAGCTTTTAATCTGAACAGCTCGCTGGCACGAGACACATCCTCAGTGCAACTGATGGCAGAGTAACCTCTAAACCACCATCTTCACAGAAAGCAGAATGATAATCCCAAATTTCCTTACTCAGTTCCTCCTGGAGCTGCAGGTCCCCTGATGTGGAGGCCACCTGATGGTCCCCACTCCTTTCAGATGGCACCGTCACACGCCCAGCTCAGCACTTCTTGCACTTGGAGCTGCAGTTTCTGAGTCTGGAGAAATATCTTTGTCACAGCCCTTTCAGCAGAGGTGGAGGAACCTTTTTAGACCATTTAGAACCCACTGGTCCTTGTCCCCCTTTGCACAGTTGATCAAAATGTTATTTTTTTAATCCGACGTGCAGTTATTGTGTTTAATCACAGCATTAATCAGTCTTCTAGAAACCTGTTTTAAAATGTGGAATAGAAACACACTGAAATATTCAGTAGAAATAACTGGAAGTTCTACTCAACAAAGCAATGTCCTGTGCATTTTAATTTCCAATTTATGCCCACTTTTGTCTTTTATGGTATCCACAGACACTTCAGTACTTTCCATAAGTGTGGATGCACAATGGAAAAATAAAAACATGGTCCCTTCAAATACTGGTGGAAGTTAGAAAACCTTTCTACCTTCTTTTCCTCTTAGTATTAAGAGATCTTTTCATAATTCAGGAGAGGAGTGAGGAAAAACAGAGGACACCAACACCTGTGTGTGTTTGTACCAACACCCTTCATGGAAAGGGCACATTCACAGCCAAGCCAGTGGAGAAAATCTCGTGTTTAAATTTATTTTAAGCACAACAACAGCTGAAAAATAAAATGTCAATCTCAACAGGAACTGAAATGCAACTTGTGTTGTTTTTTTTTTTTTAAATAACTTTAAGGCTTTTCTCTGCCTGTTGGAATGCAAACAAGGCTTTCACTAGACCTTCTGAAGAACACTGTCTTCTAAAGGGACAGCTTGATCCTAACTGAGTGCTTATTGTCCTCAGAGCTTTCAGATCCATCCCACAAGTTTCTTGTCTGCTTGAAAAAGCGTAGGAAGAAAAGAGGATGAATCTCTTTGGCTGTTACACTCCTGAGAATTCCAGTCTCCTTCAACATTTTCATTTTCCCTAAACTTACACGTCTCACAAAAATTGCTTTATCTTTTTCCTTCCTAATCTTGGAAAAAAAAAAATCAATTCATCATCATCTTACAGTCAGCAATATCTCTCAGTTTTTTCCCATAATTGAAATCTGCTTTTCCTCTTTATTGATCTTCATAATCTACAAACTTTGTTGCTTCTTACCTTTAACGTATTTTCTTCCTGACTCCCACGACAGAACTGAAGACAGCATCTCAAAATAATTTTATTATGGCATTAGACTTCAAGATCCTACAAAGCAATGGTGTGATTAATTAGGTGTAATTAATGCCACAAAACTGACAATAGAAAAAGACTTCCTCTCCATCTTTCCCAAAATTAACCTCCCAGGAGTGCAGGGAGATAGAAAACACTAAGAGACAATTCTATTCTGACTTTTCGATCAAAATAAGAATTTTGTTATTGTTGGCATTAATTCTGAATATAAAGGATAACAGATTTTGAGAGATGGCGCTTCTTTGTCCAGTTAACCACCTTTAATTTGATTTTTTTTTAAATTCCATGATTAGTTTAAGGCCCATTCTTTACTATAGAGATAATCTTGTTCTGTAAGCTTCTCCTCAGTGTTTCTTTCCATTTGAATTAACCAGAGTACAGATCACAGAGAAAAAGGACTAGAAGGGACCCCAAAAGCTCTTTTATTCCATTACACTGGCTCAGTCCTGTACAGATTAACTTTTCTAGACATCATCAAAGCTGAACACTCTGTATGATCATCGACCTATTCCAAGTCTGGTCCTCTCTTTTTTTAAAAAAAACTTTTGGTCAGTTTTGTCTTACTTGACAACTCCCAAGAACTGTGTTCTCTACTTTTTGGGGTCTTTCACCGAGACTCAAGGGTTGGTGTCCATCAGATTTGGGACTCAGGCGTGTTCAGTGCAGTCCCAAGGCGAGGGTTGGGATGTGTTTATCTCTGATAATGCCCAGAGTCTCACTGAGAGACACCAGCAGTGCCCTGATGTCCCATTTACAGGTGCTGGGGACAGCGTCACATGTTCAGAGCTCTTGGGGATGTATTAATTAAATTTTCACTTTCAGTAAGGCCAACACATCATTTTGGGTTATCCTCGAGCATGAATTGGCAAATTCTAATGTGTCCCTGCAGATAAAAGCAGAGTGAATATTTAAATTTCCAAAAGTGTGCAGCCCTCAGAAAAACCTCCACGGCTTTTCAACCTTCCTTTGTCCTCCCTCTACCTTCTGAACTTGCTGGGATGTAATCAGTGATACTCCAACCCTTTGAAAATGTCCTGGAGGTGACTTCAGGTCACTTTGCTTTTAAAAGAGCACTTCCTTTTTTTTTTTTTTTTAAATCAACATTTGCTTTCTCTTTGGCTTTTTTTTCGCTGCTCAATCAGCAAATGGCACTGACCAAAACATACACAAGTCTTTGCTGCCCCCCTCCTTGTTTTTGGGGAATTTCCTCAGTTGATTGCTTACATGCATTTATTTCCAGCCCTTTTATTTACATCTACTGAGCCTGCTTTCCCTCTGAAATCTCTTTATCTTAAAGTGGTGGAAAGAAGTTAAACAGTGGAATAGCACTTCGCTTCCCAACAGTACAAATGAGACCAAAATCAAGAACCTTGAGGAATAGTCATGAGTACAAGAAGGAGAACATACAGGAATTTTAGCTTTATTTGTGTGGCTGTTGGGTTTTTGGTTTTATTTGTCTGGTTCTTTGGGAATTCTTTTGCTATGCAGAAAAAAATTCACACACACAAAAGAATAATAATAATAGGAATAAAAAGTGGTTTCAGACACTCCATTGGGATTAAGGTTTATAATTGTGCTGTGGTAGCAGCCTGAATCCTTAGCAAGATTCCCCTCCTCATTTTTGGGCACAATAGGAAGAAATTCCTCCTTATAACAACACAAATTAAAATAAGAGAAGAGAGCATTAATCATTATTAATGTGCCATCCTCATAGCAGTGTGGCAGAGGTGGGAGCAGACTGCAGTGTGTGTGAAATCCCTCTCAGGGAACAAACAGGGATGTGCTGTGTTTGTTTGTATAACCCTGCAGTGTGTGTGTTTCCCAAAAGTCAGTCAGCGAGATATTTGATGCTTTCTTCTTTAATTGCAGCCCGAGTTAGGCTGCATTAAAGCTCTTTCCTCCCCTGTGTTGTGGCAGGAGGCTGGCTCGCTCCACGCTGCTGCTCATCCCCCTGTTCGGAATTCACTACACAGTCTTCGCTTTTTCCCCTGAAAACGTCAGCAAGAGGGAGAGGCTGGTGTTTGAACTGGGACTGGGATCCTTCCAGGTGATTATCCAGTGAATCCTGGGTTTGTTACAGTGAAATCTCTGGGTTTTCATAGATACTTTGCATGCCCAGTTCTCAGAGTGTGTCTTTGTTCATTCACGTGGGTGTTTTGTGTGCTGGGATTTTGGGGTTGGTTGGTTGGTTGTCTGCTTTATCTCCTGCTATTTTCTGTTATTCCTTCAGGATTTAGATTACATTACATTAACTTTTTCATAAATTACATTATTTTTGCATAAATTGCATTATTTTTTTTTCTTTCCCGTTCTCCCAGGGTTTTGTTGTTGCTGTTCTCTACTGTTTCTTGAATGGGGAGGTAAGTCTTTCAATATTTCACCTCCCTCACCCGTCACCCTCATTTCATTTCCTCGTGGGAGTAACTGCTGTCCTGAACCTTCCCTCTAACTCATCCCTTGCCATCCTCCCTGATACCTTAGGCTGAACCTCACAATTCTCAGCACAAAAAAAAAAAAAAAAAAAAAAAAAAAAAAAAAAAAAAAAAAAAAAAAAAAAAAAAAAAAAAAAAAAAAAAAAAAAAAAAAAAAAAAAAAAAAAAAAAAAAAAAAAAAAAAAAAAAAAAAGGAGGCTGTGTGGTGCCTTTATGAAACCAAAACGTTGGCCATGCCAGAGGTGATGGCCCAGATGAACCCTCCCTAACTGGGCTCTGGACTGACCTCTTTGGAAACATCATCCCAGGTTCGGAATTTGGCACTGTTTTGGTGGAGTTGGGCACTTGCTTGGTTAAACTTTGCCCCTTTCTTGCCAGCCCAATCTTCCAGCCTGTTCAGTCCTCTCCATAACGAGACTCTTCCTCCTGACATGTCCAGCTCACCACCCAGTTTGGTGTCACCAGGCAAACTGGTGACGGTGCTTTGGACCCCATGGTTGAGATTGTGATGAAGATATTGAGGCCCTGGCACAGGTTGTCCAGAGAAGCTGTGGCTGCCCCTGGATCCCTGGAAGTGTTCACATCCAGGTTGGATGAGGCCCTGAGCAACCTGGGCTAGTGGAAGGTGTCCCTGCCCACGGCAGGGGGTGGAATTGGATGATCTTTGAGGTCCCTTCCAACCCAGACCATTCCATGGTTCTGTGTTGGACAGTGTGGGGTCCAGGATCAGTCCCTGGAGGAGCCCACTAGTGACAGGGTGCCAGCCTGAGTGAAAAACCTTGTCCATCACCCTCTGAGTGTGGCCTCCTTCCCATCTTGCAGATCACCCACCCTATATCTCACCAGCTCTCCCAGGAGAAGGATGAAGGAAACAGAGTCAAACCCTTCGCTAGTTTTCACAAGCCCCTTGGACTCTCTTGCTGGCACCACCCAAGTGTTTTCAGCTTCTTTTCTGCCACCTTCCAGCTGGTCCCAACACAAACACACGGCCCCAGGCATGCCAGGAACCCCCTCAGACCCTCCCCAGGTACCCTGCAAGCCTCCCACTCCTCTCAGCACGTGGCAACTGCTGCTGGTGTCAGCTTCCCACACCAGTTGTTTTTGTTTTTTTTTTTCTGATTCACCTGTTCTGATCTGCAAATTGAGATTCCTCTGCCTTTGTTTATCCAGCTGAACACCTGGGGTTATTATTTTCTCAACTAATGGAAAAAAGTTCCCCCCTCGAGGGTGCCTTGATCCCAGTGATTCTTAACAACCTCCAAGCTCCTCAAACAAATTTAGGGGTCATTTTTGCTCCTGGCCTTAGTCAAAGTGACTTTAAAAGGACCCCCAGGGCTGTGAGAACATTGTTATTCATGGCTCAGTCAGTCCCAAGTAGATGGGTGAGATCTGGATCACGCCTTGTTGGAATTAAAGGTTGTACTCCTAATTCACCAGCTGGTGTTTCTGTATATCTGAATCTCCCACCTAGGTTAATTTGGTTAATTTTACATTTAACCAAATTTTTACATTAACCAAAATAAGGATTTAGAGGCAGTAGAAAGGGAATGCAAGTTTTCCAGTTGGATTTTTCCTCCCTGTAGTTTTTGCCCACACAGTAAAAGCACTTCTTTAGCGTTTTGGCTTATGATGATCCACTTTGACACCTCTTTTAGCCCAGGACAATCTCGTAATGATTGTTAAGGCCAGGAAGAAGATCTTTGTCACAGCAGCTCATTGAAGACTGGAAAAATATACTGGGAAAATCTCTTTACGTATTTCCTTGTTCTTGCACTCTTTCAGTCACAAATGTGTCACAGGCCACTGTCAGGAATGAGCAAAAGGCCAAGTAAATGCTGCTCTGAGCTTATAAGATCCTTTCTTTTATCAAATTTATCTCTGTATACTCACATGTTCATCCACCAGGATTGCCAGGAGCTTGGTGATGGATGAAAAGAACAAAAGCTGTGGAATTATTTGTTTCTTCCCTGACTGAACTTGCAATTTTACTCTTGCTGATTCATTGTGGGTGCCCATAAAACCCTGTCAGGAAAGGGAGGGTGTCAAGGGTGTCTGTGAACCCCAGAGCTGGTGTGTGCTCGGAAGGGATCAGAAAGCAGGAGGCAAAGTTTCCCCGAGACATCCATCCATCCAGTACCTTTTGTTTGCTGGTTTCTTTGGGTCCTTTTTAGGCCTTTGATGAAAACAGGGTGGTTTTTTTTTTCCCTCCTGTTGGAGTTAATGTTGAACAGGCCTTTGTTCTGGGCACCTCTGGGCTGATCCTAAATTACCTGAAGTCAGACACACAGAACCTGGGCTGTAGTTCCCACCACATGCCAGGACCTCTTTCAGCCCTGCAGAGGCCACTTCAGGTTTTGCTGAAGTGAGGAGTTTAACAACAGCCTTAAAAACCAATCCCGTGGAATTGTGGGGTTTTTTCTAATCTTGATATCTTGTCAGCATGTCCTCGAGCGGCGAAGTACATAAAAAATGACCTTTTGAAGTTTCTCCCTAAAGGTGCAATCAGAAATAAAGAGAAAATGGAGGAGCTGGAAAGTCAACCGGTATTTTGCTGTGGATTTCAAACATCGCCATCCTTCTCTAGCGAGCAGCGGAGTGAACGGGGGGACACAACTGTCCATTCTGAGCAAGAGCAGCTCTCAGATTCGGATGTCCAGCATAAATGCGGA